CACACTGGCTCTTTGCTCTTCTTCCTCTGACCCTTGCCAGATGATTTCTCACAAGAAGCAGTCATTGGTCTTCTTTATCATTCCTTAGAGTATGAGTACCTACATTCTCCTCAGAGCATCCAGCTCCGTCCTCTCCAGAAGAAACTCCAAATTTCTTTTTTAGCTCAAATGCCTCCTCTGTGTGACATTCTTCTACTCTTTGGCTTCTTGACAGAAGTCAAGATTCCTCTCTGCCTCTTCAGATCCCCTTACTTCTTCCTTTCCTACTGAATTCCCACCTCCAGCCTATCTCACTTGAGCTGTGGGATTCCTAGAATCACCACTGATCATTTCCATTTTCGAATGCTCATCAGCTGGTTAACTGCTGTTCACAACTCTTGAATTATTCTTTATCCTTAAAAACCTTCAGGATTTCCTAGGGATAATGATGACAGCCTGCTAGAAGGAAGGGGGTGGAGGGGAAGGAGAAAAAGGTCAAGATCATTCTCTGGATTTCAACTGGTAAAAGCAATATTACCCAAGCAGTGCAGAGTACTAAAGACTGCTAGACTTTGAGGCAAAAGACAGCTTGGTTAAAATCCCACCTTCATCACTTATGAGCTGTGTGGCCTTGGGCAAATCACTTAATACTCTTTGAGCCTATTTCCTCAACTGTAAAATGGGAATAATATTTATAGCACCTCCTGCATAGGGTTGCTGTAAATCACTTTGTAATGTTATATAAATGTAAGCTATTATCATCATCAGTATTATTAAATCAAGGCAGAAAACCAGATGTCCCTCCCCATGTTTCTATACAAGAGAATCAGCCTTGAGTATGCTGCTTTGAATTTTCTAGGTTGCTTCTGTTTTTTTTACAATCCTCTTTTCTTTTACCGTTCCACAAGGCCTGAGAACAAGTCAGAACAAAAAATTCTTTCACACCAAACATCAAATAGACACCCATTATAAATATTAATGCGAATGTGGAAGGCTGACCCATCCACTGCCATCTTAAATTGGTTTGTGTTTCCAATTTACTTAATCCCTTTTATAGAGAAATCAAAACACATTTCTGTTCTCCACAAAACACAAGCACCAATTATTCCTGGAAGCAGTATTCACATACCAAATGCACTGTGATGTGAAATTGGGCAAGGCTGAAGGCATATTAATGTAAGAGTCCATCCATCTTGATGCAGAACTGCACTTTACACTTCCAAATTAAATCTGAGCATGCTGGTTTCTATATACTTCAAGAGACTAGGCACCCCATGTGCCTTCAGAAACAGTTTTCATTTTAATCCTAGTGATCACCAGCACTCAAATAGCAGATGATAATCAAGGCAGGATTGATGATCTATCTGGCTTGAAGGATGGTGCTTCATAAGCATAAATTTTTGGCATCCAGTTTTCTACGACAATGACCATCCAACTGTCTACAACCATCCTCTCCACAACATAGGCTCCCAATTCAACTACTCAAGAGTGCCATTGAGGAACACTGTTTTTCAAGCTTTCCCTGGTGCTGGGGAAATGATGATGGTAAGCTCTCTGGCAAATGGGAATCATCTGAGCGTCATTTTTATGAAAGAGCTTTTTGGTTAAGACCAACTGAATCACACGTTTCCAAACAGCATCTGACAGAGGGAAATCAGTCCCTGAAAGGGATGTAGCTGCTCCACACTCGCACAAAAACCACAGCCCAGTGCTGATTTCAGGTCAGGTACTAGTCCCTTAAAAGTCAGAAGAGGAGCATATTCTCTAAAGACAACCTGTCATAGGGTACATTGAGATCATCCTCATCAGTGAGAAATCATAGTTTTAATGTCATTACTCTCATGTACTGGCATATAAATTCATATTACTGGCACAGTATATTGTCTTTTCTCTGTTTTTCAGAGGATGGCAAACTATGGCCCAGGGGGGCCAAACATAGTCTGCTGCTTATTTTTGCATAGCCAGCATGCTAAAAATAGCTTGGTTTTTCTTTTTACATTTTTTAATACAATAAAATTTATTTAAAAATATAAAAACCATTTTCAGTTCATGGGCCATACGAAAAAAGGCCTTGGTTTGCTAGACCCTGATCTAGAGGAAGGACCCTTCCAGGTCCTTTTTGTTCAGAGATTACAAACTCCCCAGTACTGGTGAGCTGGATTAAAATATAAAGGGGAAGTGTTTACCAAAATAAATAAAAATACAACATAGATAATGTTAACCTATGGTGTTCTAAGTCAATATGCAACCTGCAGGGATACATTTCTGTTTGAGTTTGACAAGACTACTCTAATTGAACCTTCTCCTTTTACAGATAAGGAAACTGAGGCCTAGAGAGGTGAAATAACTTTGCCAAAGTCACGGAGAGAGTAAATAGCAGAGTTGGGATTTGAACCCAGGTTCTGTGACGTCATTGAATCCAGAATTCTTTTGGGTTCTAATAAATCTTTGCATGCAAGGACCAATAGAAATTAGCACTCCTCAGGAGTCCTTGCACACAATGATTCCTTAGAGCACTGACCTTATTTTACAGAAAAGGTGAGGGAGATAAAAGGGTAGAAATGCAGTGAGTCCAGGATCCCAGGCATATCAGGTGCCATCCAGGGTTGCATGGCACTTTGTCTCCTCACCATCAAAGTCAATTTACCACCCCCTCTGCATTCCACCTTCTTTCAACAAGTGCCAGGTAAGACCCCAAGTCCTGGGCCAGGGAGGGGTTCTAGCCCCAGCTCTGCCTCTAACTTGCTGCAGGACCTTGAACAAGCTGTTTCCCTTCTCGGGACCCCAGGAAGAATCAGTCATCTTTGCTGGGAGGTAGCTGAGCTCATACAGAAGACAACACTTCTATTTCTTTAAAGGCAGCAAAAGAGCAAGATGGAAGAACCCAATGGCTACATTCCAGCAGAAAAAAGCCATTCAGCTTACACTCAAATTTGTCCTTGGCTAAGGATTTCATAGAAGTCCCAAATGGCTGTGGTCAGAGGACAGTAACAGCTCCACAGACAGTAGGTCACCTTTTAGTTTCAGTCTGATTATGGATACTAAATATTTTATAATCCAATTTGATCTTCCTATTTACATTGGTCCTTCCTACGAAGAAGTTAAATGTATCTCACTGACAGTTTATTTACATCCCTATGAGGGTAGGCAGAGACAAGGGACCTTTCCATTTAAATAGAGGAAAAGGGAAGTCCAGAGGACTCCCCCACTGACTGCTTGAGCACAGAGGCTGTTAGAGAAGGCAGGTTTTCACTGTGGCCTAAGTAAAACTAAGGTCTTCCTATCTCAAGCTCCAGATCTCACATCTCAGTTATGTCCATGGACCAACTGGACACTAACAAATGACTCCTCCCACTGGCCTGGGGAAGTGACAAGACTCACTCCAGGACAGGACTCAATGCCATCAGTGGAACAACCACAGCAGAACCTTAATGACCTGGCACCCAGAGACAGAGATAGGGACACTTAAAATTACTATCAGAAACAATTACAAGGTGACACACCCAGAATCTTGTAGGGTTACAAAACACTTTTACACCTCAACTGATCCTTGTAACAATCATGTGAGGTAGGTAGCTGGCACAAGAATTAACATCCCCATTTTACAGATTAAAAAAAATGAGGGTCAGAGGGGTTCAAGAATTTGTTCATGGTCACACAGCTAAGCAAGGGGCAGAGATGAGACTAGAACCCAAGTTTGCTGATTCTGGATCCAGGATTGGTCCCACATCTTCTCTTCTTCTTGATGAGAAGAAATAGCAAGCTCTGGGACTGGATTCCCAGGCAAAAGATTAGGTTTGATCAAGCTCCCCTCTTAGAGACAAAATTAGCATTCATTCCTATAGCCACATGGAGCAAAATGCAAAAAAAAAAAAAAGACAAATTGTAAATGACTTACTCTCCTTGTAGTTACTGACCTCTGCATCAGGAGCACCCCTATTCTGCCCTCACCTGGTCGATTCCATATGTGTCTCGCGAGATGGCCAACGTCCCTGGGTGCAAATTCTGGCGCAGTGTTTGGCATATTTGTGAGCAATCCCAGAACTTAAAACCTGAAAGGGCCTCCCAATAGCTCACGTGAAAAAACCTTTCACAGAACGAGAAACTACAAACTTCCTTGGTCAGCTGATAACTAGGTTTAATTGGAATCACTGGATTTGGAGCTAGAAGGATCCTTAGAGAGAGTCCAAACCCCTCATGCTGAAAATGAAGAAACTGAGACCCACAGAATTTAACAGATTTGCTCAAGGTCATACATATAGGAATAGTGACTGATACTTATTTGAGCTTTTAAGGCTTACATCTTTCTTTAAAAAAAAAAAAAACAACAAAACAACAACCCTATGAGATAGTGCAAATATTTTTATCCTCATTTTACAGATGAGGAAACTGAGGCTCAGAGAGAGTGAAAGCAACCTGTCTATGGTCACACAGCTGGTAAGGAACAGAGCTGGCATTCTAAACCAGGTTCTTGAACCCTAAATCCAAGACAGCTGTGCCTCACTTAAATCTAATTCATGCACACGTTGGGGCATCACACTCACGATGTCCTCGGTCCTCTATGACCTCTAGGACAAATGACAAACAACAACAGGGCAGATGTGCCCAAACCCATCCACTGGAGCGCCAAAATGACTGCCCAGCTTGCCTTGGTAATCTTACAACCACTTCCTGATCCTTACAGAGAAAAAAGAGCCTCTCTTTCCTAATCCTGGCTACAAACACGGCCTAGGACTGAATCCCACTTTGGCTACTCCCTCCCTGTGTGACCCTGACATCTAAGTCTGTTACCTTAGCTGTAAATGAGGGGGTTGGACCAGCGGCCCCTCCCAGCTTTAAATCTATGATCTTATGACACACACTAGAGGAAAGCTGCCCCAGCTTCACTTCCCCAGCACCCTGAGTCCTCGGCCAAGGATGTCAAAGACAAGACAAATTAAACAACGACCAAAACAACCAACAACTTTCAAACAGATTAATCATGGCAAAACAATATTAAGTCAGCCACATGGGCATCTCACTTAGTCTTTTGTGATCCTCCAAATGAAAATTCCAGTTCCTGGTCTTCACATCTGCAACAGAGAAAACACAAATGTCAAGGCCTCCCTGCCACACCCTTGAAAGCTCTCCCAACCTGACTGGGATGCCCCTTCAAGGTCCAACAATGGTCCCAAAATGTTGGGGTTGGAATAAAGCCCCTAGTGGCTGATATCCCAAAGAGAGGTGCCCAAGGAATCTTGGGCTCCACAAGTGGAGCCAACTGGGCTCAAACTGATTGATCTTGGTACTGAGACCAACTAGGCCTTAATGGTGAAACAAAGGAAGATGATTGGAAGATCTGTGGCCAAAAGGAAAGCACAGACTCCTAAAAAAAGAAACAAACAAACAAAAAATGGTGGGCTGTGGACTGCTGCAGTAAACAGCAAAAAGAAAAGGGATAGCACTAATACTTGATGCTATGTGATCTGACAAACATCTAGTGAATGTCCGCTGGTAGGTGCAAAAGTCCAAAGACACCCTTTGTAAATATGAAATACAGGAAGGACTATTAATTTCAACAAAGATTTACTGAGTACCTATGACGTTCAAGGCACTGTGCCGGGTGCCACGTGCTCTATTTTCAGCAATTCCAAAAAATGGCAATCAGTGTAAACAGCACCATTTCAAACACAAAGACAATGATCCGGGAAGATGATTCATATTTGTCTTTCAAGGATAAACAAAAAACAAAACAAAACCTGTGACTGAGCTGGGACTGTTGAATTAAAAATAAATGCTATCAGAAAAGAATGAAGGCTTTTATTGGAGATGCCCTCAGACCCTCTTTTGAGGTACTTTATGAAAGCTGTTCATGAATCCAGCCAATCTTCCTATTTCTATAGAATTCTTCACTCATTCATTCACACCAATGACAAAGCACTGGGTTAGACCTGCTAGGTCTCAAACACCCCTGTTTCTTTTGTGGTTTGTATGTTCGCTGAATAAGGGGCTCTAACCTGTCTTTTCTTAAACAGGGAAGAGACAAAGCCCTGGGAAAGCTAAGTGATTTTTGAAAGCCAATGGGTCTGAGCCAAGATGTCGGCCTAGAAGCCCAGGATTCTGGTGTCCTGTTTTCCTTCTTACAAGCCTAAAAGCTGGCTGTGAAAATCAAGTATAACTGATATTATTTAACCTATGGAAGAGCTGCAGGAAGAATTAATCATCTTCAAGTCTCTGAAGGATTAGACAGGGACTGTAACCCGCTGTTCCCTGGTCCCACTGGAACCAGATGAGGGGAGACTGGATGAAATGGAAAAGTGGGGGAATTTGGATGAGATCTGGACAATGAGAGTTGGAAGACACAGTTCGGGTGCTGAGGGAGGTTCTAGAGCTTACTTTATGGGGATTACAAGAGTACTCCAGGCTGCCCTATATATTCTCCACCTGGAATGATTTAAGCAAGCCTTCTAGAAGTAAAAGGAAATGAAAGTGGTTCCAGCAGTCTGACACCTTGAAGACATTCAGTGAGAGGGAAGGCCAAACTCAACAGAGGGGGCACACTCTGCTACCTCCATGTCACCTAATTAAAGCTGCAAACTTGCCATACTTCCTGGAACCCATCTGTTTAAATATCGCAATCACATCTTCAGTAAAGCCAATGTCTGCCTCAAAGCGGGTTCGGGAGATGAGCACACATCGGCCTTTGATGCTGGCAAAGCCCTTGCTGTGAGGTTGGAGCTGCTGTGGAGGCACTTCACCGGTGGGCTCCGACCCTGAAGACTTCAAGGCAGAAGCCGTGGTATCAGGTCCTTCCAGGGGCTGCAATGTGATTGTGCGAAGGTCCCGGATGGCTTTCACTGCAAAGGAAGAAACACTACTATAGCCAGCTCTTGAACAGTCTCAGGAGGCTCTTAATATAACTAAGCAAGGAAAAGTGTCTTAGGGAAGAAAGAGAAGTTGGAGGTGAGGTGAGGATGAAACAGGGAGGAGCTGTTGGAAGTGATTAACTAGACAGGCAAAAAAAAAGGAATCAAAAAAAGCAGTTACTATGTGCCAAGCACTATGCTAAGCACTGGGAAGACACACAGAAAAAGCTAGACTGTCTCAGCTCTCAAGAAGTTTACCTGCTATAATGGAACACTATTGCTCCATAAGAAATGGTGAGCAGGCAGACTTCAGAAAAACCTGGAAAGAAATGAATGACTTCCCCAAGTTCACCCAGGTAAGTAAGTGGTAGGACCAGTATTCAAGCCTGGGTCTTTTGATTCCAAAGCCAGTTCTCCTTCTATTGGCCCACATATTGCCCTCCAGTCACTGCCCAAATCCTTCTCTCTATGGGATCCAGATAACCCAACACTATAGGTTAGTTCTGTATCCAGGATATGCTCAGGGTACTGCCATACATAGAATCACAGCATTTTACAATCAGTATGACATAAACAAAGGTTCAGAGCTGGAAGGAACTCCAGAGAACATCTACTCCAAAGGTGTGAACTCTCCCGTGGGCCTGAACCACATTAAAAAAAGAATAGGAAACGTTTAACAAAATAAATAGAAGCCCAATACAACACAGATGATGTTCATTTGTGGTTTTCTAAGTCAATGGAATCCAGTGCCTTCCTTTTACAGATGAGGAACTGTCTCAGAAAGAACGAGGGACTTATCCAATTGTTGCTGTTGCTGCTTGTTCTTGAAGGGGACCATGACATCAGGGAGGTGATGCCACGACATGCAAGTGAGGGAGGGCTGGGCGAAGTCACCAGCCTCCCTTTCTCCTCTAGAGCCATCTGAGTCCAGTGGCAACAGACAGATCAGATGGGCCAGGATGCAGTAAGAGACCTCGGCCTTTTTAAGCTAAGGTCTTTAACAGGGCTCAGTTAGACGGAAGCAAAGACCATTCAGTGATTAAGGCTAAATAAGAAATAAATAAGTAAGAAATAAAGAGGCAGAGAACGGCCTCTTTACCTAGTCAAAAAAAAAATCCATCTGGGAGGGGAAGACCCTCAGGGTTTCTGGGCAAAACAACTGCTACTTACATTCACTCTGAGCCAATCTGGGCCCAAACAATGATCAAGGAGGGCTTGTTGTTGGCCAGTCAATGAGACAGCTCTGCCTGGGATTCACCCAGTCACACAGGAAACAAACATCAGAGCTGAAATCCAAACCTAGGTCCTCTGACTGAAGTCAGAGCATGCTCTCTGACTTCCCCAGACTGCCTCTGGGACAGACTGAATCCCATCACTTTATGACCAGGAGAGTGACATTAACAGCTGATAAATCTCAAGACCAGGATTAGAACCCAGAACTCATGTTTTCTCATTGTAGCCATACTAATTGTTTTGTCATTATTCTGCACCAAACGGCCCCTTGCCCCTGCCCCCACATTTAACACAAGGGGCTCTGCATGCGTGATCACAATGACCTTATGTGGGGTTGTCACACAAAGGAAGGAAGACCAATAAGCAACGACCACACCTACAAATGACGACAGGGTAGGTCTAACAACTCCCGAAACCAAGGTCTCTCAAACAACCAAGGACAATGACTGCTTTACTTACTTAGAGGCCTGTAGTCTTTTAGGCTGAAATCCCACATTTTAGTAACAGGATCTGAAATAAAGCATAAACCACTTAATGGGACCATGATGAGGATAATTACTGTCATTACAATCATTTGTACTAACAAATAGCCTTTCAGCCAGAGTTCAAAATGCTTTACCGATGAGCTCTCTCGGTGACTCACACACTATTGCTAAGAAGTGGAATGCAAATATGTAGAGGGACAATTCTTGAGTCTATATTTAGGATGAAGAAATAGGACCAGGAAGATGACAAGCCTTGTCTTGGATGATAGAGGTGGGCCTAGAACCCAGACCTTCCAATTCCTAGGGCAGAGCCATCTCCATAAGGCCATTTTGTTAAATAACAAACTTCGAGGCTCGTTAAGGGAATAGCCCAGAAGGCACATGCCAAGGATGCAAAACTAGGAGGTTAATAGTGGGATACAGGGAAGTTACAAACACAATGCCCTGGGAGATGCAAGGAAAGGCCAAAATGGCAGATGAATGAAAGGAATTCCACCTGGAAAACAGGACAGGCACGTCATTTACCATACTTTCTGCTGGGCAGACTTTTAAACACCGCAAGGAGCTCTGAATTATATCCAATCTCCACCTGGAAACGGCCTCCTTCCTTCTTGGTGCATTTCCCTTTCTGAGAGCTGAATGCTTTCCGAGGAGAGGCCTGAAGAGCCTGCTGAAGCTTTCTATTCTTCTCCTCAGACTGACTCCCTGAGTCAGAAAAGTTCTTATGGACGGAACTGGAGTGTCCAATTGTTTCCTGACATTCAGGATGAGGGGTGGAGAGGCTCACAGTGGCACTGAGCGACTGTCTACTTGGGTCATCCACTAGTCCAGAAGCAGCAGCCTGCAAATTCTGTGAGTGCCCTGGCTCACCCAAAGGTCCATGGATAGAGCTGGTTGAGGCTGCAGGCTTGGACTGGTGAGAGGGGCATGGATGACCTTGAGCTAGCTTACCAGAAATCTGCTGGCTGGGGTTCTTTAAAGAGTCCTGTGCTAGAGAATGAGAGATCTCACTGAAAGCCACTGGACTTGAAATGTGGACCGGGCTGGCTGAACTTTTTTTCTCTTCCCTCTTTCGCATCGTTGTCTCCGGCATATCAGGAGGAAAACTTCCGGAAACATGATATGCCATGACTTCAGTCTGTGAGACATGGGGATTCTGCTGACTGGTATTAACAGCACTGCAGCCCCCACGAGAGGACTCTTCTGCTATGTTCTCCAGGATGCTTGAATGTCTGGGATTGTTCTGGTGCACTGTCCTGGGGATGGAGGTGGGGCCTGACGCTATGCTTTTACTTTGCTGGGCTAACTTCTCAGCTCTTCTAGCAAGAGCCTTCAGCCGATTCTCTTCTATCTTTTTCTTCTGTTCTTCGGTGAGGGTTAAGGACATCTTAACAGGGCATTAAGGTGGAGTTGAAAATGGAGAAAAACCTGTTGGAGGAAAAAGGGTTCAAAAAAAAGCATTAACCTTGTCTATCTGCCAGTCCCATGGTCTCTGCCTGAGGGATCTTGAAAAGAGCAAAACGGACTGATATACATTTTTTGTGGGACTCTAATGATACATGTATGTATGCCATAGGGTCCTATATTCTAGTTTATATATTTGCTAGATTATAGAACAGGGGAAGAGAATAAGCATTTATTAAGCAGCTACTATGTACCTGGCACTATATTAAGTATTTTACAGATATTATCTAATTTGACCCTCACAATAACCATGGGGGGGGTAGGTGCTATTATTATCCCCACTTTACAGCTGAGGAAACCAAGGCAGAAAGAGATTAAATGATTTGCCCAGGGACACACATTTGGTATGCATCTGAGGCTGGATTTGAACTCAGGCCTCCTGACTTCAGGCCCACTGCTCTATCCAATACATACCTAGCTACCTCAAACAGCACAAAGCCCCCAAACTGCTCCACAGCCTAATGATTGCCAGCTTTCCAGCCTGCTGCCATAGCATTCCCCTCCTTACATGTTTGTTCCAGCCATACTGGACAGCTCTCTCCCCACCACCACCCCAAGGAAGCGCCCACCACGCTCTTAGACCTGGGAGCCTCTTCCCAGAAATCTTCCTTGATGCCCTTCGGCTAACAAACTTTCCTTCAGACCTCCCATGCTTTGTTCTGCAACTTTCCAATTGTGAGAAATAATTCATTTGGACTCCTACTCTATTCCAATTGGTATTAATCAGTCTGATATGATTCCATAGGGGTAGTGATTATAAGTTCTAGATATTAAGCCCCAGAACTGAGAGTTGCAGATTGTAAGTTCATCTGTTTAATCACAGGAAGCTAACTAGAGGCCTTCCACCCTCGTTTTTTCCTTGTCATGGTGACTAAGCCCAGGGTGGCCAAAGTGACTCAATTACATGGAAAGTCCTCCAAATTGTTTCTGTACCTCTGGACCACTCTATCTTGCCCAACACGAGAAGGTGACCATCTTATGACCCCTTAGTCAGTGGAGATGCCCCACACTTCGCCCAATCAGAGACACCTCCCCCCGACCCCTGCCAACATACTATTTCAGCTGATGCATCATTTTTTTGGCCCACAAAGTAAGATCTATCAACCAATGGGATTCTGTACTTTGTATTGCCTCTTTAGAATATTCTGGTATCAAGTCTCATAAAAAATAAGGCCCTGGAAGAAAGGGGCATCTCAGATCATAAAGAAGATCTGAGATCCACCTCTTTGGAGGCAACCATTGACCCCTTAATAAAGTGCTATTAGCCCAGAGCTCTAACTCAATCTCTTTTGTTATAGAGTTAGACAATTTTAATCCCTACACAATGTAATATTATGCATTCTGGTCATCTATACTTGTCCTGCACCTGTTTCACAGCAGGCTATAAGCTCCATGAAGACAGTGAAGGAGTCTAATCTAAACATCACATCCCAGTATTTAGCATTAAGCTCTGCACCTAATGTTTGCTGAATCAAAGATCAAATCAGTTGTTGTGAGGCTCCAATGAGATAATTCATGTAAAACCTTTTGCAAACTTTAAAAGCTCTATGTAAATGTCAGCCAGTGAAATTCTTCCAAAGTCGGTCATCTGGCTCTCATTCCTCTTTGCAGTTCTAGTCCATATTAGCCTGCCGGCTGTTCTTCACATGGGACATACCATGACATTCCATTTCCTGTTTCCCCTCGAGGTGTCTCTGCAATAGTGGTCTGCCTATTTTGGAATGCACTCCTTCACTCTTGCTTGTGAAAGCCTTTGAAAAACAGCTCAGGCACCCGACTCCTACAGGAAGCCTCACCTGATTGACCCACCCTCTAAACAGTAATCAAATCAACGGAACCACTGTCCAAAGACTTCAATGAAACCTCCCCTCCCCCCACCCAGTGATTTCCCAGGCCACAACACTAGGCCTATGGTCCCACTGGGGACCCAACTGGGACTGGCTAGTTGGGCAACACAGTGCTTTCTTTCTTTCTCTTTTTACTTTCTTTCTTTCTATTCCCATAGGGTTTCATACATTTACCTGCGGGTGCCCTGCCCAAAGGAACATATACTTTCATTGCTGAAACCTTGAAGGATATCTTGAGGTTTACCGGCTAGATTTTTTTCTAAAGGACCATGCCTTAAACCAAAATCACTCTGCCTCTCATTGATTGGCCAACAATAGGTCCCAAGCCCCACTTAATTAGGGTTTGGGCCCTGATTGGCTCAGTGAATGTAAATAGCAATTGTTTCTGTTTTGCCTAGAAACCCAGAGGATCTTCCCCTCCCAGATCCATTTTCCATTTTTTTTTTTTGGACTAGGTAAAAGAGGTCATCCTCTGCCTCATTTCTTATTTAATCACTGAATGGGCTTGTTTCTTACTTAGCCTTAAGCATCAAATGGGCTTTGCCTCAGTCAAACCCAGACCTGCTAAAGACCTTAGCTTAAAAAGCCCACTGGCTCCCACTGCATCCAGGGCCATCTCCTGGCATCCTGATCTATATCTCAGCACTGAACCCAGATGGCTCTGAAGGAGAAAGTGAGGCTGTTGACTTTGTACAGCCCTCCCTCACTTAAATCCAATTCACCTGCAAGTCCTGGCATCACCTCCCTGATGTCACGGCCCTCCTCAAGAAGAAAGAACAAACAACAATGACAACCAGGGGAATACAAGGTCCTTGAAGACAAACACTATCTTTGTGTTTTGGACTCCCAAGATTTAGCACTACATCTGCACAAAGTGCTAAATAAATTCTTTCTCATTCATTCACTATTTCAACTCATTCATGTTACATCTCTTCAGTAGCAAGTAGGATCAGCTAAAACAGATACAATTTCATCTTGGCTTTTTAAAGCCAGTGACTAGCACACAGCAGATGCTTAATAAAGGCTGGATGAATTGCATTCACTTAATCTACTTTCGGCACAGGGGAAGTTGGGCTAAATAACAGAGAATCACCAGAAAAGGAGAAAGAAAGCATTTCAAACTGAAAAGGATGAGATTAGACTGAAATAGCTGAAAAGACAACACACCCCGGTGTAACATCTGCTGAAAAAGCCTGTTTCCAACCTAGAGGAGCCAAAAATAAATGAGCATCTAGATCAATTACAGACAAAATTAACACATCCTCATTCAATCCTTTCAACATCAGGCATCGCTGAATAAATCAACTCTCTGCATGTGGCACTGGGCTGGTCAATATACAAAACCACTTAGACATAGTCCTAGACCTGCAAGATATGAATATAGAAGGGAACTACCACACCCACAGGGTTCTGCAGACACTGGGGTAACAGTGCCAATGGTCTAGTTCACCCTCATAGACACCACAGCAGCAAAGCTCTGAAGGCATCTCAAAAATCAAACCTCTCCCTGCCTCAAGGACCCGGTTTCTGCCCAGGCAGTACCTGTGGCTAAAGAAAGAAACTACCTTAGGGTGAGAGGCCACAACCCTTCTGTCCAAAATGGCTCCCCACGGCCAATGATACCCATCCACACGAAGAGATGGAAATGATTTGGGTTTTGCAAACCCTGACTTGCCACCTTCTACCTCTAGAAAGCCAAAAGAGATTGAGGAGTCAAGGAAGTAGGTTTCTTATATGCAAAGCAGGCTACTTTTGTTTCATACCAGCCTCCAAAGGATAGCCCATTCCAGCACCTGGACCCTTCCTCCAACCCAGCACCCTTCCTCTAACCCCACCCCCCACTTCATTGTTTAGCTTTCATCTCCCATCCTTCCTAGCACACAATGAACCTTGGTTTTGGAGTCAAGAGACCAAGATGCAAGTCTTACCATTCATACTCATGGATTTAGAGGAGGGAATTTAACAAACTGTGTCACCTTGGACAAGTCATTTCCCCATTCCTGGATGAATTCTATCTGGCCAAGTTACTTAACCTCTGGGTCTTATTTGCAAAATGAGAGGGCTGGAATATGTGACTCTAAGGTCTTTTCAGCTCTAAATCTTGTAATTCCATGGAGTCATATGACTTTATTACTAGCTGTGTGCCCCTGTCAACTCTTCTCTGTGGGACTGTTTCCCCATCTGTAAAACGGGAAAGGGGATAGAGGTAGCCTTGCATAGGTTAGCAGCAGAGTACAGTGATGAGAGAATCAGACTGGAGTCACTGGCCCTTGGCGCAAATTCACTTTCCACACCTGTATAATAAGTGTGTGTCTGTGTGTTGCCTGGGCAGGATGGACCAAATTGCTGAAAAGGTCCCTTCCAGCTTTAAATGAACCTCACAGCTCTGAAGTCTCTTCTCGATCCCACATTCTGTTATTGATCCAGTGACTCCGTGGCTGGCTTACCAGTCTTACTTGTGGGAATGGGGTCTGGTGGTGGGTGGGAAGCCAGGGACTTGGCCCATGAGAGGCTTCTGGGGAACACAAACTCATCTACTTCGAACTGGAGAGTCCCAATCCCTCATTTTACAAATGAAGAAACTGTGGCCCAGAAAGGCTGTAACTTGCCCAAGGTCACACAGCAACTGAGTCGCAGACGTGGCATTTGAACTCTGGTCCTGTGCCAGGCCACCTCCAAGGTCCCATAGCACACTAGCGCAGTGGCCCGCAGCAGTGCCGCGGGAAGGCAGTCCTCTGGACTGGACGCTTAGAGATCCGACTGCCCTACTCCTCTTCCATGCCCTCCTTCCCCAGTTAGGATTCCCTAGGAATTTTTCCCGACCCCCGCCCCGCCCCGCCCCTCTTTGGATTCAACCTCTCCGCGCTCCCCCCTCCCCCGCAGTTGGTCTAGTCCACTCTCCACTTCCCACTCCCTCCTCTGCTGGGTGGGTCTAGAGAGACATTATATCCGGTGTCTGACCCTACTACTGGCTCGTTCCCTGAAGTCCCCCATCCATCACCCCCAACCCCCCAGGCTAGGCCTGGCCTTCAAACGCTCGATACCTGGTGTTCAGCTTCGTTGTTTCGTTACTGTAGGTGCCCAACTTCGCTGCTCCATTACTGAAGGTGCTCAACTTCCCCCGCTCACTCACCCGACCCCACCCAGAGCCCCAAACCCATCCGCCCGCCTTGCGCAGTGAGTTTCCAAAGAACTACACCTCCCAGGTGCCAGCGCGGCGCTGACGCGCAGGCTAACTGTAGGAGCGAGGCTCGGCGAGACCGGGAGGGTTCCGGGCAAGGAACTCTGGGATTTGAAGTTCTGGTGCTGCTAGGCGGAGATAGGCGTGGCGTTCCGGTCGAGGACGAGCAGTGTTGAGTGTTGGGAGTTGTAGTTCATGCAATTCGCAACTCGGGGCAGGGCAGCTTCTGAGTTCATAACCATCTTAGGCTGGTAGCACGCGGCCCTTGGGACTTCAAGATGGAAACCTTGACATTGTCACCAGTAAATCTACTATATGTCACACCCTGGTTCATTAGATTTTAGAGTCAGAGGACCTCTTTCTCGGAACTCATGGCAATGATTCCTTCCTGGGCAAAATTCACTTAAACTCTCTGCGTCCTCAGTTTCCTCATTTGCAAGATAAGGAGGTCAGACTGACTATGAGGTCTTTTCCAGCTCTAAATCTACGGTCCTCTCTGTTAGACAGGCATTTAAAAAATCATAGGATCATGCATTTGGAGTTGGAAGGGACCCTGGAAGCCACAGATCATACCTCCTCATTTTATAGATGAGGAGACTGAGTCCTAAGAATTTGGGGAGACTGAGTCCTAAGAAGTGATTTACGCAAGGTCATGCAGGTATAAGTGGTAGGGTAGAGCCAGGATGAGAACCAAGGTCCTCTTATTCCAGTTCCATTGAACCACCACTGCCTCTTCATTAAAGGTTTTCAAAAGAAGAGTTCCACCATGGCTGACTTGGTCACCCATTCCTAAGTCCCTTATGTTTCCGGGTCTTCATGGATCTGCTGGAGTCTAATGTTAATTTCTGCCCCCAACCATTTAGCTCCCACTCCTTCTCTAGAACTACTCCACCTGAAGGCAGGCTAACACTTATGAGTAGTTTGTTCCTCCAATCTCTACAGTCTCTGTCCACTGTACCCACTAGCCTTTCTAGAGAAGAAAGCTCTCAATTTGGAGCTATGCCCAAAGGGCTATAAAATTGTGCATACCTTTTGACCCAGCAAAACCACTTCTAGGATTGTATCCCAAAGAGATCATAAAAATGGGAAAAGGACCCACATGTACAAAAATATTTGTGGCAGCTCTTGTGCTGGCAAAGAATTGGAAATTGAGGGGATGCCCATCAATTGGGGAATGGCTGAGCAAGTTGTGGTATATGAATGTAATGGAATATTGTGCTATAAGAAATGACTCATGTGAACTGATGCTGAGTGAAATGAGCAGAACCAGGAGGACATTGTACACAGTAACAGCCACACTGTGTGATGACTGACTTTGATAGACTTGGCTCTTCTCAGTAATTCAAGGCTCTAGGACAACTCCAAAAGATTCATAATGGAAAATGCTATCCACATTCAGAAAAAGAACCATGGAGTCTGAATGCAGATAGAAGCATACTATTTGCTCTCCTTTTCCTTTGTTGTTTTGTTTTATTGCTTCATTCTCGTGATTCCTCCTATTAGTTCTAATTGTTCTTTACATCATGACTAATGGGAAAATATGCTTAATATGAATGTATAAGTAGAGCCTGTATCAGATTGCATACAGTCTGAGCGGGGGGGAGAGGGAGGAGGAGCAAATTAAAAACTCAAAATCTTATGTAAGTGAATGTTGAAAACTAAAAATAAATTAATCAATTATTTAGAAAAAGAAGAAGAAAGCTCTCCCATCATCAAATTTTTGACCTCTTAAAATGTCAATATAAAGGCTGCTAATGTTCTTGAGTTTTTTAAGTGACTTTTTATTAGTATGTGTAGGAAATCTTTTTTGTTGGTCTTTCTTTGCCCTCTATATGTAGTTATCCTTCACGGAAAAGAAATAAAAAAGAAAACAAAATTAGCCTACTTACAAAGAAGCTGGGAATTAGGACATCTGGATCTTATAACTCAATTCAGATCTGTCTAGTTTCACACACACACACATACGGGATTAAATTTTCTCATCTTTGAAATGGGTACAGTGTCACCTCACAGAAAATATTATCATACTGACGTACATATATACAGTACACTGGAACATGGGATTCAGTTGTGTTTAGAGTAACAGTGACTGGCTTATACTGACTGAGCTGACGTTCACAATAGAGAGTTTTTCTTGGACCAGAGCCAATGGGGCCATTTGGAGATGAAATCCTTAACATTAGAGTTACTTTTAAGTAACAGTTTTAGGAGATACTGCTACTTTCAGAACAGGTATGTACAGATCAAAATGGACTGAATTTGGGGGTAATGTAATTAGATATTTTAGGCCATCGAATGATTTTTTTATAATTATCTGGGTAATTTAGACAGTCATCTCAGTTGAGTGCCTTCTTTAATGGGAAAAGCACAGATAATACATTCTAAAGCAAATATATGTGAGAAATAATTCATTTGGACCCCTATTCGATTCCAATCAGTATCAATCAATATGATATGATACCGTAGGGGTAGTGATTATAAGTTCTGTCCAATAGGCCCCAGAGCTGTGAACTGCAGATTGTAAGTTCACTTGCTTGATCGTAAAAAGCTAGTAAGGAGAGGGTTTTTTTTCCCTTGTCATGGTGACCAAGCCTAGCATGGCAGAGGCGACTAAATAACATGGAAAGTCCCCACACTTATTTTTGTATTTTGTATCTTTGTATTTTGTATTTTGTCCAATATGAGCTGTTGATCATCTTATGACCACTTAGTGGAGATGTCCCATCCTTCACTGAGCTGGAGACACCCCTCCCACACACACTGACATACCATTTCTAGCTGATGCATCATTTTTTGCCCATGAAGCAAGATCTACTAACCAATGGAATTCTGTCCTTTGTATAGCTTCTTTAGACTGTTCAGGTATCAGATCTGGTATCAAGCCTTATAAAAATAAGGCCCTGGAAGAAGGGGCCATCTCACATCATAAGAAAGATCTGAGGTCCACTTCATTAGAGGGGAACATGGACCCTTTAATAAAGTGCCATTAACTCAGAGCTCTGCCTCAGTCTCTTTTATTGTAGGTTGGACAATTTTAATCCCCACATTATTGGCCCCCAAGATGGGACTTCGATGCATGGACCTCAACCTTTTTTAGGTGGGCCCTGCAAGAGATCCAAAAAGGAAGTGTACACTGGGTTGAATTTTCACCAGTGGCTCCCCCATGGACACTGGCCCTGGGACATCAGACTCCCCTTACTGGCTGTACCCAAATTCTCTGAACTGGAGGTAAATCTCTTCAAAATTGGTAACTGCCTTAATTTATCCTAAATTTATTTTCTTTAAGAAGGGTGCCTGATTGGGCTAAGAGGGACTGTTTGAATTTGTGACTAATCTGTCCAAATTTATAAGTTCCAGAGCATTCAGATCTATTTTCATAAAAATTATATGGCCATAATTTAAACTTTTAAACATATGCTACTGTTTTGTTTTGTTTTTCTTGTTTTCATTTTGCTAAGACTAGAGAGATTCGGTGGTAGAATTGCTAGTTCCTCATTTTCAGCCAGCTAGCCTTCTAGCTAATTTTAAACCTTCCTCTTGGCAGGGTTAAAATAGATTTTTTTGCCTTTAAATTCTTTTAACAAGGAGTAATTAAATCATTTTTTTCATCAGTAGAGAAATCTCTCAGACAAATTGAAGGGGAACTCATTTCAGTGGCTCACAGTGGGGTGAAGAACCTATCTAGAGGACCCTAGGGTTTGGGGAAGTGATTCTCTACTCCAGTGCTCTGACAACACCTTGAGGGGGCAGTAATTCAAGCCAGACCCAATAGCCTAAGGGGAGAGATTCCCTGCCTCAACAGTAAGCTGTCAAGACATGTGACCCTCCTGGGAGCAATCCCATCCTCTTCTGACCTGAGAAGAGGGCTCATTTTAGTTTTATACAGATGAGAAAAGGAAAAGGTTATTTTCATTTATATTTGCTTAGGATTTAGTCAGTCACTGATAATCACAGCCAAATTTTTAGGGAGTTTTAAAGGAAAGTAGGTATAAATTTTGTTGAATATTCACTTATAAAGGACCTTTAGACCCTAGTTGACCCATCGTAGGATCCTATTGGTTAAGCCTAGAAATTAAGAATTGAAAATATTGGAGAACTTGCCAAAACATATCCCTGAATATTACAGTGTTAGCTGTAGAAGTAAGAACTGTCGTATAGGCGGAACTTAGGCGGATAGAAGATTGACTTCATAATTGTAGGGGGGCCATCTCTAGTGTCTTCAGAGGGGAACTTCTCAGATGGAATAAGCCAAAAGCAGGCACCTCGGGAATCTAGTCCAATTCTCTCAGGAGAAGTTTCTCCAAGGAGCGCCCTCCTGGTTGGGGACGCCCCCAGAAGAGATGGGGTCAGGCATGAGGAGATAAATGTATCTTACGGGATTCCCACTGGGACAAGGGTGGACTCCCTGTCTTCAGAAGATTAAAGAAAGAGCTATTAAGCTGTGTAAAGTTTGGCTTGAGAATACAAAGAGTTTAGGGAACTGTTTTGGCCAAAGCATGGGACTTTTGATGATTTAGATTATGGAATTTTATTGAACAATCTACCCAAATCAACTTAGAACAAATGAACTATTGATGATATTGGTAAATTTGTCACCATTCTCAGTTTTTCTCCCTCTGGTTATACTTTGGCAAAAAGTCTAGAGGAATGGAACTTTAACCAGCTTTTCTATGTATTAGGGACATGTTCTAAATACAAGGTACCCTTTAAATGGGTGAACCCAATTGGAAAATTAGACTAAAGCAATTTTATATTGTTACTAATTACACTTTTTATTCATAAGAATGCAAATGCATTAACATGATTAGGAAACAGAAAAATTATCTTATGCTGACAGCAGGACTACAGCTACAAGATGGCCGTAACTTCTATACTCAATAGAGGAGACAGGTAAGATCTTGACTTCACAATCTCTTAGAGAAACACTTAGGAGAAGTTCAGGCCTGAATTAATGTTGTGTCTTGTCATATGTTCTTTGTGTTCGTTTTGTAAATGATGAAAT